CATGGTGGCCTTTAAACTCATCCCCCTTCACTGCAGTGCTAACAGTTCTCTGGCCATTTGCTGTTCATTGGCTGGTGCAGTTTTACTTACAGAGGAGGAGGAGGAGGTAAGTGTTGCTTTGTGTAGTGTAAACTACAATTTAGATGTCAATGAAAGTACTCATATTTATATTTTTAATCTGAATCATTTTCTGTGTTCAAAGAGAACAGATAATGTTGAATGACATGACATGTTTGCATCTCTCTGCAGGGTTCTTCTGGGCTCTGGAAATCCTTGAAAATGCTTGTATTGTAATCTAGTTTATTCAAAGATTGAAACGTTCATATATTTTAGATAAAAATGTAATTGTGTTGCTTTCATGATACGTTGTTACTACATAGGTAATAATAATTAACTATTTAAAGGAGACCTATTATACCCCTTTTTATTCATTCATTTATTTTTATCTTAGTCCCTTTATTAATCTGGGGTTGCCACAGCGGAATGAACCACCAACTTGTCCAGCATATGTTTTACGCAGCAGATGCCCTTCCAGCTGCAACCCATCTTTTGGAAACATCCATTCACGCTCATACACAACGGACAGCCTACCCAATTCACCTGTGCCGCATGTCTTTGGACTGTGGGGGAAACCGGAGCATTGGAGGAAACCCACGCAAACATAGGGAGAACATGCAAACTCCACACAAAAACGGCAACTGACCTAGCCGAGGCTTAAACTTGCGACCTTGTTGCTGTGTGGCAAAAGCACAACCGACTGCGCCACTGCGTTGCCCTACGTCTTTTTAAAAGATGTAAAAAGTCTCTGATGTCCCCAGAGTGTGTATGTGAAGTTTGAGCTCAGAATTTCCCACAAATAATGTGTTTATAACTCTTTGAATCTGCCCCTTTTACGCTTTGACCAGGGCTTAATTTGTGCCAGAACATGTCTGATCCGGCACCTCATTTTACAGGTCCCCCTCCTCCCCTGTCTGCTGTTCACTTTCACTTTCTTCCGCGACTCCCCAACCCTCTTTACTTTCATATGTCACAACCAACCCCCCTCCCGGATCTTTACTTACGTCAGTGACACCCCTCTGCCATCCAACCCCCCGCTATCCCCCCCACCCCGCCCCCTCAACTTTTGTGCGCAACACCGCTACATCCTCAAGTAACATGCTGAACTCGTTACCCCGATTTGTTCCTGTACCTCGCAATTCACAAATTAAGCACTGGCTTTGATCCAACTTGTGCTGTCTTGTTAACTGCTGCTTTAAATTCAAATTAGATTGTGCTCACAGCGCTCTTTTGAAAAGATGGCGGGTCTACAAATGCCTGTGTGTCAGCATAGTGGCAGAAATTTACAACCAGGACTAAAGTTATCTCTGTGAAAATCTGAGAATGTTAAAAGACATCCTAAATCTCCACATTTATAATCCTCTTAGTTGACATTTGGCAGGTGCAAAAACTTGAATGGCGGACGACCGCTTCTCACTCAGGATTGATTACTGTGCGTTCAAACTGAAAGCGGCGAGATCGTCAAAGTAGCCGGAAGACATTCATATTCAATGGGAGCCAGCAGAAATAATAAACCTGTGTGGGCATCGAGGAGAGTTGAAATCAAGTTAACTTTATGGTAATGAGCTATGAGGTGGTTCGGTGGCAACAAGTCGAAATGTAGACATCCACCGCTTGAGAGGAGTCCAGAGAACACAGTACTGTGAACGTTGGTTCTGACCACAGTTACCTAAGGGTTTGATGCAACCCTGGCTCTTTCTGCATTTTTTGTTTTCGCGAATCCACGAGAGGCGGCTGTGTGCGCTTTTTCGTATCTCAAATGTCTCTCGCGAGTACAGTTCGCCCCCGCGCTGTTCTCGCGTAAACCCACCAGAGGCCGCTGTCGAACGACCGTCTATCTGACTGGCTGAATGATTGACTTGGCGACCGGCCAATCGGCTGACTCTCCCTCCTCCTTCCCCAAACGCAACCAATTTTACAGATTGACCAGAAAAAGAAAAGCCCTCGTCTAATTTTTACCACGTCTTCGGATCTTACCACAATCTCACCCTGTTATGAACTTGCTTACTTCAATTTTTGGATTCTGTTTTCATCTTACCTGATTTCTGTAACTGATCTTCCCCAGACTTGAACCCTGTCTTCGCCGTCAGCTCCTCTCTGCGTCTCATGTCTGCCGACGTACACGACGAGCTAACTAGACAAACTAGTTGCAGCGGAAAAAGCCCTACACATGGAGGTAAGCGGTCAACGCGGAAAGTAATGGCGTCATACGGCCTGTAGCGTTCGCTTGAAAAATGAAATGCACCCATACGTACCTCCAGCTACATGATTTGCGGTCTCCAGAAACGTCCGCGGGACTACGTTTTCAGAATGAGCCTGGGTTGGCTTAATTATTGCGGTTGCCAAATATCCAATTATTTACAATGTTTTCCTACAGTGACATACATAAAAAAGTTACTGGCGAGTTACTGATGTGCATTAGCATTATATATGTATTTTTTGTTTAAAAAAAAAGAAAGAAAAAAAAGGAAAAAAAAGTGTGAATCTCATGCTTACTATAACGACAGTACAAAACAGTATTGCTGCTTCAGAATATCTCAGACATATGGACACGTACTGGATAAGTGGAGCAAAGCCACACCACACGCAACAACTTAATCTTCTACAGTTAAATGAATTTGATAAAAAGTGTGCAACTTTTTGCACGCTAAAAGGCATGTTTTATGCAGGATTGTAACTGATTTGCTGCAACGACCTCTTTAAATACGAGATCAATGTTGCGAATTTTGACACTCTCGCCGGTGGAGCAGGGAAGGCAGACAACGTTGTCATCAGGGCATCCAGAGCGAACTTACATTTACATTCACATTTAGTCATTTAGCAGACGCTTTTATCCAAAGAGACTTACAAATGAGTACGCAGAAGCAATTTACACAACTATAAGAGCAACAATGAATAAGTGCTGTAGGCAAGTTTTTTGAGTACAGTTAGCGGTGGAGCCAGGGAGGCAATTGCAGATTAGGAAGGAAAGTGGAGATTAGGAAGGAAGCTTTGACGCTCGCACCGTCTTCAATGTGGACGCACAAATACTAATTTACTAATGAGCAAGATATCGTCACTAACAGGTGGGGTTTTTACCCTTCTGATGACGTTAAAAAGGGAGAATGTCCAGAATGTGTTTTTGCAAGTGTGATTATAAAAAATATATATTATTTTTTTTCCATTAGAGGCTGATTGTATTCACACACTGCTGCCACACATAATAGGTCCCCTTTAAATGAAATAAAACACAGTGATTTTGCTTTCGCATAAAATAAAACCGCCTAAATCTAGCTTAAAGGTGTAAAATCAAATAAATCAGTGTCTGGCATGGGGAAAACATGCCATAAAAATGTTTCCTTAGAATACTTCACTACAAAATACATGAACAAATCGCATCTTATTTGGTGTAGTGTGTATATGTATGAAAATATTTAATTTGCCACACTTGCATGCAAGCATTTGGAAAGTGCTTGAAAAGTGCTTAAATTTGATTTTAAAAAAGTATATGGACCCTGTTTCTTGTTATTTTAGATGGCTTTTTAGAACTTTCAAAGAGACTTTCTTCTTTCTGGAGTAATCCGGTTTATACAAAAGAATAAGAATACAGAATAGGAAAACACTATGCTTTAAAGGTTTGGAGAGAAAATACTTTTTTATTCAGTGAGGATGCATTAAGAAAATTATTTCTGAAGGAATGTTTGACATTGAAGAATGCAGTAATTATGCTGAAAATTTAGCGTTGAATTACAGGAATAAATTAAAATTGAAAACATGTTCAAATTTAAACAATTATATTAGATTGTAAGAATATTTGACTGCTTATGTGCTTTTAAACTCTAGTGTTTATTATTATAACACATATTCTGTTGGGGTTTTTGTTTATGTGACTTGTTTCAATGCAGGTAGTTTGTAGCCTTTTAAAGATCTTTTTCTACAACATTGTGTAAACCTGCCGGTCCTACACCACCCAACCCGCTCTGAGCTGGTATCGATCTGGCGACCTTCCGCATGGGAGTCGGTTGCACTAACAAGGAGGCTAAACACCATGGCCTTTAGTGTGGGTTGCTAGAGCACCTTTAGAGGTCAGATGAGTAAGGTTTACCTGCACACACTAGCTGGCCTCCGTTACAATTGCACACATTTTTACATTTGTTTCTAATTTACATACCAGAGGAAGAATAAATCTTATTTTGCTTCATGACTATGCACTGTCCTATTGTAATAAAGACTGAACCCCGAAAATAAATCTTAAAAAAATGGCTTTAACAAAATAAATAGATAGCTACATAAAAAGAAGTTAATGTGTAGGTGTATTAATCTGTTACAGCTTTTCCAAATAGGACTATTTCTGATATGTCTTCTAAAGTATATACTGCATATGTTGAGCGCTATATAAAAGAAGATATTAGTATATTTTTATAAGCCACAGTCATACAATATGTATAAATGCGTTACTGTTTTGTAGTGTAATTATTTTGAAAAATCAATAAAGAATTGGAATTAACAGTTGTATTTTTGACTGATAATAGACTGGCAGACAACTTCTATAACAAACTGTAAAAATAAAAAATAAGATTTGTCCTGAATTCGTCTGTATCAATGCGGGCCTATTGAGATAGTGTACTGTTTCTACACGGATTCATATAAAGACGGGACAATAACAATCTGGTTGTGTTCAACGACCGATCTATATTAGAACATTATTAAAGCCTTATACGCACCAATTAATCAAGATATACACTAGGTAATGAACTATTATTTTTTAGAAAGAAGCTTGAATCGTACAAAGCAATTATTTTTCGCAAATAATTATATGGTTTTTGAAGTCAAGCTACGTTCGCACAGTGGGCGTCGCTGATTTGAAGTCCATTCGACACTTGTTGTAGTATGTAAATATTGGCCAATCGCCGTCTCTGTTGTTGCCTCATGACTATTAAATTAAGTACGTGATTGGTTTTGTAGAAAAGCGACTTACTAAATATTCATAACAACAGCCTTCGGGGTAGTAGGATTCGCAATTCACACATGTTCTAGTGTACGCGCACATGGTAAATCAGCAAACACGATTTTTGCCACACGCATTGATTCATTATGGGCTTTTAAAAAACGGAAGGAGAGTTGATAATTGTGATGGACGAAGCAAATCCAGCAAATCCTCCTCCGAACTGGATCCAGCAGCACACTGTCGTAAGAGAGTCACATTCTTCTTCATGTAAAGATAAATGAATGTAAATGTGTACTGCATATGTGTACAATTGTTGTTTAATTTGTTCTTCAGTACCAAGAGCTGATGCGTTTAGAAGTCGGAGACAGTGTTCAAGTACATGCTGCCTTCCTGGTGTACATGGATCTGACGGAAGGTGATGTCAACAGTCTAAAAGTACCGTAGAATATCAAGTTGAACATCCCCCCCAAAAGAATATGCCACAGTTTTTGATGCAATCCCTGACTTTGTTATATTTTTAGTCCAATCTGGCCCCAAAGGTTCTCTAGATTCTTTTATTATTGGCTTTTTATACTTTTTGATGACCAAACTCTTCTCAGTTTTATGTCGAACAAAGATATTCGCTTGGTTATTAATAATTCTCGGATATCTTTACCTGCTTGCATAGACATAGATTGGGATCAGTTTTGTCTTCTTAGGAAAAAAAATATTTGTATCTAATAAAGCTGTTGTAGTCTCAATCAAAATCAATCATAATACATAACCCAATAAATACTAAACTAGCTCAATTTAAAAACAATATTATTCCCTAAATGTTCATTTTGTACTCAATATGATGAAACACTAAATAATTTATTTTGGGAGTGCACTTATTGTAAAGTTTTTGGGTCGACTTCCAATTTCATAAAAAAAAATTTTTTCCCAAACTTTTGTATTTCCCCAAAAATTGTATTCTTTGGTTACTCTCTGAATGTAGATCCTTCTCATTGTACATTTATTATTAATTTATTATAAATTTTACATCCATAAATGTACATTTTCGAAGAAACACCCTTACTTTTTATTTTCAGAAAGGACTTTGATTTATATGTGAACTCTTTAAAAGACTAACAATTATATTGCATGAAAACTTTTCTTGGTGTAAATCATTTAAACTTGTTTAATCTGCTGGATTTTTATTTATGTAACCCCTGTGTGTTTTTGTTCATATTGTATCTTTGTAATGTTCCTTCTTGCATAAAATAAAATCAAGTTGAAACTATAAAAAGAGACTAAATGACCCTTAAAGGGCAGTTCACCCCAAAATGTTATTTACCCATTTACTCACCTTTAAGAGATTCCGGACAACATCTGCTGAATACAACAGAACCCACTCGTCAAACGACCTGTTTTCAATACTGAAATATGATTGAAATCAGATGTATTGTTTTTTTTGTTTTTTTACATTGAAACAATGTTGATACATTGTTTGATGTAGAACGGTTGAAAACCAACCTGCATACGACCAAGCTCCAATGTTGAAATACGGTTGAAAGTACGTCAGTTGTTGTTTCAGTGTTAAATGATAAACCTTACAGTGTTTCTGTATTATAAAAAATATTAGCCATTGACTTCCATGTTTTTTTCCTACTATGGAAGTCAATGGCTATCGGTTTTCGACATTCTTCAAAACACCTTCTTTTTGGGTTCATCAGCAGAAGGAATCCCATAAAGGGTTTGGAACCACTTGAGAGCGAGTAAATTAATATTTCATTTTCGGATGAACTATCCCTTTAATCTTTGTTTACAGTGCGTAAATGGAAAGATGTGGTCGGGGTTTCCTGTCCGGAGTTACAGGCGGTTCTTCTGGAGGGTCGAGAGAAGGAAGGAGAATCGGTCCAGATGATTTACCCTCTGCCTTCACACAGATCCATCAAGCACAGAGAGTAAGGGTGCTTCCACACTTGTGTTCGATTCAGTTGTTCCGAAACAGAGATTACAAATGTTGCATTGTTGCTCTTTGCTCTTGGTGCGGTTCGCTTTCACACTGCAAAGTTTCCAGTCGGACCAAAAGAGCTAAAACAAGTCACGTGCGAGTAAACTCTCCTTACATTGGTCAGAGTGTCAGGATTTATTTTACAGCGTCCCGCTAAGCTGTCAGGAGAGGTGGTGGTTTGGTGGTGATTGACAGGGTGCGCACGCGTGACGTGTCTGAGGAGAGACGCGGTGGGGAGGGGTGAGAAGGGTGCGCGACGATGCCTATTTGAGGACTGGGAGGGAGACGCGAGATTACCAGGAGATCATCACTCGTTTGCGGGCATCCAGAGACTCGCGAAACTTCCCGCCATACTCATAATTCTCTCTTCATATAGCCGTAAGCCTATTACATATCCATAAAACACTGTGATATAACCGCGCTCGGATCGGATCGCTTTCTCACTGCAATCGAACCGCTCCAGGGTTCGTTTCAATCGAGCCGAGACCACCTCATTCAAGCGATCTCGGAGCGACTAGTTTGGCGCAGAACAGAGCGCGATTGAAACTGTTCACATATGCCAAACGAAACGCACTAACTGGGCAAACGAGACACATTCCAAAACAAAAGTGTAGGTGTGAAAGCACCCTAAGACACGCTGTCAGCATTTACTGTAAAGTCACTGCAAGTAGTAATAAGTGCTTTCAAAACACTGCACCTTGAGACTTTAGGTTTAAACTTAAAATAATGTTCATTCATTCATTTTTTGTTCGCTGGCTCAGTGCCTTATTTACCAGGGATCGCCACAGCAGAATGAGCCACCAACTATTCCAGCATATGTTTTATGCAGTGGATGTCTTTCCAGCCGCAACTCATTACTGGGAAACTAAAATAATGTTAATGTGGGTTTTTATATTCTATTACTTTAATCTTAATACGTTAATTTTGCAATTTTTTTTTGCAACACCTTTTACAATATTCAACATGATAGTCGATTTTAATGGAATAGTTCACCCAGAAATGATTATTACCCCATAATTTACTCACTCTCATACCATCTCAAAAAATGTAACTACTTGTCGCAATGACGCGTAGCGGTAGCTCTGTGATTGGTCGGCTTGGTAGCGCTGACGAGTGTGAACGGGACCGAGAGCTCCAGATGAAAAGTTTTGTTTTGTGTTTACCTTATAATTAAAGTGCACTTCAGCCGGTTCCTCCCTCAAAATGAGCGAGTTTGAACCACTTGTACATTTAAGGAAGCGTTCAGGAAAAAACAAAACACCAGCGTAGAAACTCGACACAGAGGAACATAAAACCCTCACTGGCAACTAGCTTTTCGGAAATGTTAATGCAGAGCAACAGAAACAGTGCGCAGAAGTATGAATGCACAGTTAAGCCTGGTTTATACTTCTGCGTCAAGTGACCGGCGTAACTCACGGCGCAGGCAACGCGCGCAGCTGTGCATTTATACTTCTGCGCGCTGTCTCTGTTGGTCTGAATTAACACTTCCGAAACTCTAGTTGGCAGTGAGGTGTAAATGTTTCTCTGTGTCGAGTTTCTTCACTTTTTTTGCTTTTCCTGAACGCTTCCAGGATGTACAAGTGGCTCAAACTTGCTCATTTTGAGGCAGGAACCGGCGGACGTGCAACAACTTTAACCATGAGGTAAACACAGAACAAAACTTTCCGGAGTTCCTTCACGGGACTCCACACTTGTAAACAATCGCTCGCGCCATTCGCGTGGCTCTCGGTCCCGCCCAGACTCGTCAGCGCTACCAAGCCGACCAATCACAGAGCTTGCGCTACGCGTTGTTGCGACGTGTAGTTACATTTTTTTAGAGGCGCACGTCAGTGACGCCGATGGCCACGGCGAAGGGCTATGCGTCAGCGCCGTAGCATACGCCGGCATTTTACGGAGAAGTATAAATCAGCCTTTACGCGCATTGCATGCTCCGTGGGTCACGCCGATCACTTGACGCAGAAGTATAAACCAGGCTTTAGTCGGAGTGGTTTTCAATTGTATTCTGCATGCTGTATAATGGTATTGGATGGTGGCTTTTATTTTGAAGCTTTCAAAAATCAAACTATCCCATATGGTGCCAAAGTGTTAATGCTTGTATTATGAAACAGATCAATGTGTATTTATAACAACAACAAAAAATCCAAATCAACGAAATTCCACTCACTGGCAGCCAAACGCATGTTATGCGCAACTGACGTTACGTACAGTTGAATTATTCAGAATTATTAGCCCTCCTGAATTATTAAATTAATTTCTTTTAACGGAGAGATTTTTTTCAACACATTTCTAAACAATAGTTTAGAATATATATATATATATATATATATATATATATATATATATATATATATAATAACTGATTTATCTTTGCCATTAGGACAGTACATAATATTTGACTAGATGTCATATTACAGCATAGATTGTAAAATATATGGCTGTAGTATCCATTAAGTCACCCATAGGTTTCTTAAGAGCGCAAATGAAGCAACAAGTAGGCGTGGCCAACCGTCTTCATTTTGTTTGTGTGTGTTCACACCAACCGGGGCTGACCAAATAAGAGCAAAGAGGAGGAGCGTCAGAGGAGCTACAAACGCCTGCTAGCATTTTGCTTAGACAGGCTTTTCTTTGGGAGAAACGCTTAATACATCATTACCTGCGACTCGTTTGTGTTCTGACTGCATGTGCTTGCCTGTTGAGGATTTATCAAGTTTAAAAACACTGTTGTAATACATTGAGCCACTAAACATTGTTATTATAACGTTTTTCTACTGGACGATAACACAAATAACTTTCAAATACTTCAAATATAGTCTGTGTTGGTCAATGCTAGGCTATTGATTAAATCGAGAGCTGTCGCTCAAGTGGCCACACCCTTAATTATGCAGACTTAATAAAAACGAAACGGATGAGTTATAAAATATTCACCCCCTCACAGTTTTCATGAAGGGTAATATTAGCTATATGAACCAAAATCGTTCTTTGTACCAGGCTGTAAACATGTTTTTATCAGCTGTGAAATTGGCCAATTTACTGTTGCAGACAGATCTGGATTTCCTGGAGCCAGCTCCTAAAGGCGAGTCGATGAATTGCAGTTTTAGTTACTTCCGTATTGGCTTCACGGCTTCCTTGCTCTATTAAACATCATTTTGGAAATAATTGAAAAAGAAGATAATTTACAGGAGGGCTAATCATTTTCTGTTACTGCTAAACACGATTGTTTCTTACAGGTTGCGCAGTATATTAGACAGAGGTTCCCCTATGCTCTTGTGTGCGGTGGCTTCTGACTCCACTCTGGTGTACCAGAGATTATGTGACGGCTTTCTAACTCCTGACCCTCCCGTGGACATCCAAGACCAAGGTCGCCGACAGCATCGCAAACGGAGGTTACAGACGTGATGGATTGTGATTTGAAGTGAGAATCTGGTCTGATTTATGATTGATGTTGCCGTTAAACTGGCATATGTAAAAACATATTTGAATAATTTTACGTTTTAAGCCAGTGGGGTTTAAATGAAAGAAATGAAAACATTTCTGCATTTGTCTAAGTGTGTGTTTACATATACATAACAATTATACACAGTACACATATGTAATCGCAAAAATGTAAATAGTTTATGTAATACATTACAGAAACATAAGAAAAGCTTGAAAACGGTACCTCATGAAAACAACATCACTTAGCTGCTTTTCTTTACCTCAGTATTTGAAACAGCTTATGTTTTGAATGTGATACACAATTTCCACTGACACAGGAAGACAGGGCAGGTCATATTCAGCAGCTTCTTCCACTTTAAAATAAGACAAAATCTCCAATAGGTGTTTGTTTACATCACAGCAGAGCATTGTCAAGCCGCATTTGGTAACTTGTCATAGATATATACATTAGATGTCGCCTAACCTGTTGTTGTCTATTGGAAGGAATGCGTCAGTAGAGCCGCCATTTTGGTACAGGGTAGCGCTCCTTTGAAATGAATGCGGGACCAAGCTGCAGTGGAGGACTGTGGCCATCCAAAGCCAGAGATATACACATATACACATATATCTATGATCGGGAGTTTTCCTGGAGGTCAGTATGCAGTTATTTTTTTTTATTACGAAAGTTATAATTTTACATCACTTTTCTACATTGATGGATCAGTGATCGCACAACATTCCTGACAAAAAGCTTGTGTTTATGTGTATGGAAATGAACTATCCACCCTCCCTGTTAAATTTGATCTGATCCGTGTCCTGAAACACAGCTCCTCTCCTGCTTTCACTTTTCATACTGACGGAGGGAGCGATTCATTTGTGAATGAATCGCTACGAATGACTCCTTCACTAGCCGACATTAATACAAGTTTCTGGCAGCGCAGCATCTCGCTGTCATTTTTCTTTTGCATTGTTTGCTGATTTTTTTTTAACGCAAGTAGCAAAAGCAGAGTATTTAGTGCGAGTTGGAGCTACTTTGCCTTATGGTGAATGCAGTAAGTGCCTGTATTATCATCAACAACGTTACCTGATTAGCACAAAAGTTCATAACATACAACAACGTAAAAAAAACGAACTCTTACCTATGAAATGTTCTGCCTTTGTGCTTTGTTTTCTTTGTTTGCTCATTATTTCACCCGTATACAGCGCTAAAGCCCCGCATCTGCATGTAATAACACTGTCTTGACTAGTGCGGTTGAATGACGTTTGTCCTGGGAGCACTGTACCAATGTGGCGGCGCTATTGACACATGCTCAGGGTCCCTATGCATAATCTAGTGTATATATCTATGGTAACTTGCAAGTCAAATAATTTTCTTTTTCTTCTTTATCTCTCTTTATAATACAGCTTACTGTGTAGAATTCCATTGTGTGTGATATGTTTTGTGTTCTGCACTGATTCCCATATGACCCTGCTGTCATTTACACTGAAACAAACTCTATGGTTGTGTCCCAATTCTCATACTAATACTACTCCCTAAAATGATGTACTTGTTTGTGAATGATAAGTATATACTTTTGAGTCCAATAGAAGAGTATGCAAGCTTTGAGACATACTACCTCATTACATCTTGATACATCATCCACATTTCCTTCATATTTAATTACCTACTTTATTGGAGACATAGCAGTAGGATAATCTGCCATTAGTGAGTCTTTCATGCAGAGAAATCTCCTCAACTCTTTGGATAATTATGCATTCAGACGGTAATGTCCAAACTCATATTGATGGAAGATTCATTGTTTTTGTAGATGAAATATAACATGGAAAACGTGATTTAAAATATTTCCCAGTTGGCTGGATATTAATTAATAGTAATTCAAACAACTTTACCGAAGCCTCTCTGCTTGACGGTTACTCTTGGGCGTTGTAGTTTATTTCACTTGCGTTTGTTCAAATTAAATTCACGTGCATGGTTAGAGTACGGACAGTTCTCGTAAGTTTTTTTTTTACCGGAAATAGTAGAGCATACGGGAACCTTGGGCATACTCATTTCAACATATTATATAATTCTATTTTCCAGTACTATTTAGGATGCAGCACATGTCCTGCTGCAAAGGTTTGCCTGACATCCCCAGGAAACCAGATTTCATTCATTCCGTGGAAAGCATAAAACCGCTGTTTGAATTATTTAATGCTTGATAATGCTTGATTATTTTAGCAGGTTTGGCATGCTGTCCCGGGAGAGAACCCCGAGCTCGGAGATAGATGAGTTTAAGGCTCCTGCCTGGTCAATAAGCATTAGGAGGGATACGAGATCAGGTAGTTCTTGATAACTTCCCAAGAGTAGACCGTTAACTGCGCGACTTTGTACGTAGTAGGTGCTTGTGACTTTAACTTTTGTTGCATGTTTTTTTAATGTGGGAGGAAACGTGGAGTACCTGGAGAAAACCGAAGCGAACAAGGGGAGAACATGCAAACTACACAGAGCGTGTCGACTGGCTCAGCTAGTGTTTGAACCAACGACCCCCTTGCTGTGGGGCAACAGTGCTAGCCACTGAGCCACCATGTCACCCGAACTTAAGGCTGATTTATACTTCTGCGTCAAACACTGGCGTATGCTACGACGCTGACGCAAAGCCCTTCACCGTTGCCGTTGGCGTCACTGACGTGCACCTCTCAAAAAATGTAAGCGCAAGCTCTGTGATTGGTCGGCTTGGTAGCGCCAACGAGTCTGGGCGGGACAGAGAGCCGCGCAAATGGCGCGAGCCTGATAAAGCGATTGTTTACAAGTGTGGAGTCCCGTGAAGGAGCTCCGGATGGAAAGTTTTGTTTTGTGTTTACCTCATAGTTAAAGTTGTTGCACGTCCGCCGGTTCCTGCCTCAAAATGAGCGAGTTTGAGCCACTTGTACATCCCGGAAGCGTTCAGGAAAAGCAAAAAAGCAGCAAAGAAACTCGACACAGAGGAACATTTACACCTCACTGCCAACTAGCGTTTCGGAAGTGTTAATGCAGACCAACAGAGACAGCGCGCAGAAGTATAAATGCACAGCCACGCGCGTTGCATGCGCCATGGGTTACGCCGGTCACCTGACGCAGAAGTATAAATCAGGCTTTAGAATTGAGGAGAAGGGATGGATTGGGGAGTGGGGGTCCAAACTGAAGATGAGAAAGGAAGTACAGGCTGGATATTTATATTAAATTTGTAATGATCTGATTGGCTAGTTAGTCACTAGTGATAGGGATCAACTGTAGTCAGTCCTATCCCATGCTCCTCTCAAAATTAGTTCTTAAATTCACTTGTGCTATTCACCATATCAAAATAGTAATTATGTGAACAACACTATGCACCATGTTTCATTTAGAGAGGGGTCATGCCTATGCCCTAATCCAGAGGTGATCAATCTCGGTCCTGGAGATTTGGTGTCCTGCAGGGTTTAGCTCTAACTTGCCTCAACACACCTGCCTGGGTGTTTCAAGTATACCTAGTAAGACCTTGATTAGCTTGTTCAGGAGTGTTTGATTAAGGTTGGAGCTCAAATCTGCAGACAACGGTTCCCTCCAGGAACAAGTTTGATGACCCCTGCCCTAATCCCCTTGAAGGGTTATTCCATGAAGTGACAGCTTTGAAGGGATTAAGTTATTGGAAATGAAGATTGTGTCTGTACAGCTGAATGATTTCTGGTTAATAGTAATATTTTTGATATATTTCAATCAGGTTTTAGAGCTGGTGGTCATAGCACAGAGTCAACTCTATTGAGGGTTTCAAATAATGTCTTGTTGGCGGTTGATTCAGGTAGACCTGCTGTTTTTCTATTATTGGATCTCACTGCTGCTTTTGATACAGTCGATCATGACATTCTCATTGATCGACTTATGCCGAGTTCTCACAGCATGATTTTCAAACTAGTTGTGTCACGGATGTTTTCACATTGCATGACTATCTGGGCTAGTGTTTCGTCGCTGCTTTGTTTACACTGCAAGATGGATCGGCGACAGGGGCTTTCACATTGCATGACTTTACAATAGGAAGAATCACCGACTTCGTTCAAACTACATCTTACAACCAAAAACACGTAGTATCTTTTGTTATTAACTACATAACGAGAAAGAAGCCTTTAATTAGGGTAGAAAATTACATGATTGCTCACCTGGGTTTGAAGGAAATCAGCAATTTCTTCTCAACTTTCTTCTTTAACTTTCTGTGTGAAACATCAAACAGACAAGGGTGCTCCTGTCAAACCTCCGATAGTTTTTCCTCCATTTCTTGGGTCCAAATAAACCGAAAATGAGGGCTTTTAACTTCTTCCACTGGCCTGCAGGTACACACATGCAAGTGAATGCTGCTCTATCATTGACTGTAGGCGATCGCTGATGTTATTCTCAGTCAAAACTCATTACATTTGAATCGCTGACAGCTCCAGATATTTAGCATGCCAATTATCTCACGGGCATCGGCGATTCTCTCAGGTCACGTCCTTGGTAGTTCATACTGTGTGATTGTCACTCACAAGCACGAGCACTAATTTGCCTGTGATTTCAGGCATTTGTCGGCGATTTCTCAAAACCTGTTGGCAAGTCAAAATCGGGGCTAAAATGATGCAGTCTGAACTAAAGAACCTGCTGGTATCCAGGGTCTAGCCCTGGACTGGTTCACTTCATATCTTAAGGATAGACATATGTCATTCAGTTTGGGCAGCTCTTGTTCTTGTGTCATTGAAATAATATCTGGGGTTCCGCAGGGCTCGGATTGGTTTTCCATTTACTTTCGTTGGGAAAAATTTTCAAAAAGCATAGCATAAGTTACCATCTCTATGCTGATGGCTCTCAAATCTACTTTCCCATCAAGTCTGGGGATCAATCCTCCCTTCAGGCTTTGGTAAATTGTTTGGCTGATGTGAAGGGTTGGTTAGCGAATAACTTTCTTCAACTGAACGAGGACAAGTGTTAATGAATTGATTTTAGCCAAAAAGGTTCAGATTCTAATGGCAATCTGAATAATGGCAGGCTCCATTTCAGTTGCCTCAAAATAGCAACAAACTTGTAACTTAACAGCATGAAACAGGATGTGAAATTGACATTAGTGCTAGGCTGAATTTAGCAAAAAACACTTACATCATGCCTGGTGCCATGCTGCGCCAGGTTTAGGATAGGGCCCTTAAGAGTTTAGAGGGCTTTAGAGATTCTAGACAGGTATTTGATTGGACAAAAACCATTCTGAGAAAACATTGATCTGAATGTTTCTCAACTTAGTTATTGTTTTTGATAACTTGAC